TACTACTGACTACTTAATACTACCAATACCTTCTACCTAATACTACTACTACTACTACTACTACTTCTACTACACTTACTACTACCAAACATCTACTACTACTACTACTACTACTGCTATCTACAAATACTACTCTATACTAACTACCAATACTTCTCCTACTACACTACTACTGCTACTACTACTACTACTACTACTACTACTCGTCTACTACTACTACTACTACTACTACAACTAATACTACTACAACTACAACGTCTACTACTATTACTACTAATACTACACTCTTTCTACTACTAAACTACTACGTCTACCACTATTACTACTACTAATACTACACTTCTACTACTACTAATACTGACTACATCTACTACTACTAATACTACTACATCTAATACATTACTACTACTAATACTAAAAAAAAACACTACTTCTACTACTACTAATACTACTACTTCTACTACTACTAATACTACTACTTCTACTACTAATAATGCTACTAATTCTACTACTACTAATACTCCTACTTCTACTATTATTACTACTACTAATACTACTACATCTACTACTACAAATACTACTACTACTTCTACTAACTATTACTACTACAATACTACAACTTCTACTACTACTAATACTACTTACACGTTCACTACTATTACTACTACTAATATCTAACTACTTCTACTACTACTAAAACTACTACATCTACTACTATTACTACTACTAATACTACTACTTCTACTACTACTAATACTACTACATCTACTACTATTACTACTACTAATACTACTACTTCTACTACTACTAATACTACTACTTCTACTACTACTAATACTACTACTTCTACTACTACTAATACTACTACTTCTACTACTACTAATACTACTACTTCTACGTAACTAATATTACTACTACTATACTACTACTTCTACTACTACAATACACTACGTTCTAACTACTATTACTACGACTAATACTACTACTTTCTACACTACTAATACACACTTCTTCTACTACTAATACTACTCCTTCTACACTATTACTATTACTAATACTACTAACTCTACATCTACTACTACTACTACATCTACTACTATACAACTACTAATACTACTATTCTACTACAACTAATACTACTACTTCTACTACTAATTTACTACTACTAAATACTAACTACTTCTACTACTACTAATCTACTACTATCTACTACACTCATACAACTACTTCCCTACTACTACTACACTACTGCTACTACTACTACCAATACTTCTACTACTACTACTACTACTACAACTACTACTACAACTACAGCTACTCTACTACACTACTTCTACTACTACAACTATCTACTCTACCATACTCCCCCTACTACTAACTACCACTACTACTACTACAACTACTACTACGACTACTACTACGACTACAACTACAACAACAACTACTACTACAACTACTAATACTACAACTACTACTATTACTTCAAGTAATACTACAACTACAACTACTACGCTAACTACGACTACTACACAACTACTAACTACTACTACTACTACTACTACTACACTAACAACTACTACCAATACTAATCTACTACTTCTCCTACTATCTAAACTACTACTACTAATACTACTATTACTACTACTACTACTACTACTACTTCTACTACTACTTCCTACTACTACTACTACTACTATTACTACTACTAATACACTACTTATTCTACTACTATAAACTACTACTAATATTTACTACTTCTAGCTACTACTAATACGCTACTTCTACCACTACTAATACTACTACTTCTACTACTACTCTACTTACGACTACAACTACCACCAATACTAACTACTACAACTAAAACTACTAAACTACTACTACTACTACTACTACTTCTCTACAACTACTACTACTACTACTACTACTTACTACTACAGCTACTACTAACCAATACTATTTTTGCTACTTCTACTGCATCAAATACTACTATTTTCTACTACTAATACTACTACTACTACTGCTACTACTACTACCAATACTACTACTACTACTACAACTACTACTACTACTACTACTTCTACTACTACTGCTACTACTACCAATACTAATATTGCTGCTTCTACTACTACTAATACTACTACTTCTACTACTACTAATACTACTACTACTACTACTACTACTGCTACTACTACCAATACTAATATTGCTCCTTCTACTACTACTAATTCTACTACTACTACTACTACTACTACTACTACTACTACTACTACTGCTACTACTATCAATACTAATATTGCTACTACTACCTACTACTAATACTACTACTTCTACTACTACTAATACTACTACTACTACTACTACTACCAATACTTCTACTACTACTACTACTACTACTAACAATACTTCTACTACTACTACACTTCTACTATTCTACTAATCTACTTACTTCTACTACTACTAAACTAACTACTTACTACTATACCAATACTCTACTACTGCTACTACTTGATCAACTGCTACTACTACTACTACTACTACGACTACTAATACTACTACTACTACTAATACTACCAAAACTTTCTACTAAAATAATACTCCACTACTACTACTACTACTACTTCTATCTACTAGCTACTACTACCAATACATCTACTACTACTACTGCTACTACTGCTACTACTACTACTACTACAAACTTACTCCTACCAAACTTCTACTACTAATACTACTACTGCTACTACTACTACTACTACTACTACTTCTACTACTACGACTACTACTAATACACACTACTACTACAACTACTACTTCTACTATTACTACTAAAACAACTACATCTACTACTACTAGTACTACTACTTCGACTACTAAGTACTACTACTAATCTACTACTTTCCTCTACAACTAAACTACTACTTCTACTACGACTAATACTACACATCTACTACTATTACTACTACTAATACTACTACTTCTACTACTACTAATACACAACTTTTCTACTACTACTAATACTAATACTACTACAACATACTAATGCTACTACTTCTACTACTACAATACTACTACTCTACTATTATACTAACTACTAATACTACTACTTCTAACTACTACTAATAACACTAATTCTAACTAATATTACTACTACTAAATACTATACTTCTACTACTACTAATACTACAACTTCTAGCACTATAATACTACTAACTTCTACAACTACTTCTACTACTCTGCACTACTACTACCATACTTCTACAACTACAACTACTAATACTACTACGCTACAACTACTACTAACTTTCTACTACTACTACTACTACTACAATACTTCGACTACTACTAACTACTAACAACTACTACTACTACTACTGACTACAACAACTACCTACTTCTACTATCTCCTACTACTACTAACTTCGCAACTACTACTATTACTTCTACTACTACTACTACTACAACTACACAACTGCTTCTTAAACGACTACTACGATACAACTACAACTACTACAACTACAACTAACTGACTATAATACAACTAATACCAATACTAATACTACTACTCTACTAACGACTACTACCAATACTACTACTCCTACTACTTACTACTACTACTACTTCTACTACTACTTCTACTACTACTACTACTACTACTACAACTACTATACTACTACTAATTCTACTACTTCTAACTACTATTATACTACTACTAATTACTACTATACTTCTACTACTACTAATACTGCTACTTCTACCACTACTAATACTACTACTTCTACTACTACTTCTTCTACTACTACTACTACTACTACTACGAATACTACTACTTACTACTACAACTACGTACTACTACTACTACTACTACTACTACTGCTACTACTACCAATACTATTTTTGCTACTTCTACTGCTACTAATACTACTATTTCTACTACTACTAATACTACTACTACTACTACTGCTGCTACTACCAATACTACTACTACTACTACTACAACTACTACTACTACTACTACTACTACTACTACTGCTACTACTACCAATACTAATATTGCTACTCTACTACTACTAATACTACTACTTCTACTACTACTAATACTACTACTACTACTTACTACTGCTACTACTACCAATACTAATATTGCTACTTCTACTACTACTAATACTACTACTACTACTACTACTACGCTACTACTATCATACTAATAATTGCAACTACTACGACTAATACTAAACTAATAACTTCTAACTACAACTACTATTTACCAATACTTCTACTACTACTACTACTACTACTACTACTTCAACTACTACTATAACAAAACTTCTACTACTACTACTACTTCTACTACTACTAATACTACTACTCTACTACATACTAAATACTCTACTACTACTACCAATACTTCTACTATGCTAATACTACATGCTACTACTACTACTACAACTACTATACTAATACTAATACTAATACTACTACCAATCCTTCTACAATACTACTACTTCTACTTACTACTACTACTAACTACTACTTCTACGACAACTACTACTACTACCATAACTTCTACACTACTACTACTACTACTACTGCAACTACTAATACTAATACTACTACTACTAGTACCAATACTTCTACTACTACTACTACTACTGCTACTACTACTACTACTACTACTTCTACTACTACTACTACTACTACTACTACAACTACTACTACTACAACTACTACTACTACTACTACTACTGCTGCTACTACTACCAATTCTTCTACTACTAAAACTAATAATAACAGAGAATTCACACAATACCATGCCTGGTACAATACACAAACAAACTTACAAAGGAGAATGATACGACTTTTCGGTTCGACCTGTACCCTTAACTAGCCACTAGCATCTGCATGACTAGTTTATGATCTAAGTCGGGCCGATACGTCGTTATAAGTTCCATTCTCTTAGGTGCAAGTCATGTATGGAATAATAATACTGAGGTGCACTACTACAGGGGCCGCATGGGCAACATTCGAGGCTGGGGTGGCCCACTGTGGCCATCATGGCACAACCAGACTCTTATTCTCCAGAAACAAATTCTCGCCCGGATGCGACAGTTTGGGATGATTCCTGTTCTTCCAGCTTTTGCTGGACATGTTCCAGCCGGCATTGCCAGGTAGGCGGACGCCATTTATGTCATTATATTATATATTGATATAATTGCCGGGTTTTATATATATATAAATATATATATATATATATATATATATATAATATATATCTATATATATATAATATAAATATATATATAAAGGGGGTAAGGCAGCCTCCGGATTGATGGGATAAAGATAGAAATGTTAAAAGCAGGGGGATACTAGTTTGGAGTGTTTGTGCAATTATTTAATAAATGTATGGAAGAGGTACGGTACCTAGGGATTGGCAGAGAAGCATGCATAGTTCCCTTTGTAAAAAGGTCAAAGGGGATAAAAGAGAGTGCAAAAATTATAGGGGTATAAGTCTGTTGAGTGGTACCTGTAAAGTGTATGGTAAGTTTGATAATTGAAAGAAATTAAGAGTAAGAGGAGAATAGTAGCAGATGAACAAGGAGCTTTTAGGAAAGGTAGGGTGTGTGACCAGGAGTTGTTTACAGTGAAAACATATAAGTGAACAGTATTTTAAGATAAGGCTAAAGAGGTTCTTTGAGGCATTAATGGATTTGGAAAAGGCGTATGCAGGTGATAGGGGTCATGTGGCCGATGTTGCAATGTATGGTGTAGGTAGGAGGTACTGAAAGCAGTGAAGAGTTTTTACGAGGATAGTGAGGCTCAAGTTAGAGTATGTAGAAAAGAGGGAAATTTTTTCCCAAAAAAGTAGGCCTTAGACCAGGATGTGGTATGTCACCCGTGGTTTGTTTAATAAATTTCTAGAAGGGTTGTAAGAGAAGTAAATGCGAGAGGGTCTTGGCAAGAGGCGTGAGTTAAAAGTAAAGAATCACACACAAAGTGTGATTGTACAGCTGCTCTTTGCTGATGACACTGTGCTCTTGGGAGATTCTGAAGCGAAGTGTCAGAGATTTGGTGGATGGAAATGGTAGGGGTGTGCAAAAGAAGAAAATTAAAGGTGAATACAGGAAAGAGTAAGGTTATGAGGATAACACAAAATTGAGGTGCTGAAAGGATTGAATATCAGATTGGATGGAAAAGAGTATGGAGAGGTGAACGTATTCAGATAATTTGGGAGTGACGTGGTCATCGGATGGTCTATGAAAGATGAGGTGAATCAGAGAATTGATGAGGGAAAAAGAGTGAGTGTCCTTAGGAGACTGATGGAGACAGAGAACTTTGTCCTTGGAGGCAAAGAGGGGAATGTATGAGAGTATAGTTTTACCAACGCTCTTATTATGGGTGTGAAGCGTGGGTGGATTGAATGTGCAAGCGAGGAGAAGGCGGAGGCATGTTGGAGTATGTCAAGTCTGAGGCAATGTTTGGTGTGAATATAATGCATGAGAATTCGTAGTTTGAAGTTAGAGGAGGTGCGGGATTACCAAAACTGTAGTCCAGAGGGCTGAGGAAGGGTTGTTGATGTGGTATCTGAACATGTAAGAGAAGTGTAGCGAATAGAATGAACTTAAAGAGTGTTCAGTCTGTATTGAAAGGAAGAGCGGGGTAGGGTCTGTCCCTATGAAAGGGTTGGAGGGGAGGGGTAAAGGAGGTTATGTGGTGCGATGGGCTGGACTTCCCAGCATGCATGCGTTAGCGTGTTTGATAGGAGTGAATGACAAATGGTTTTTAAATATCTTGACTGCTGTTGAGTGTGGGCAAAGTAACTTTATTAAGGTATTCAGGGAAACCGGCTAGCCGGACTTGAGTCCTGAGATGGGAAGTAACAGTGCCTGCACTCTGAAGGAGGGGTGTTACTTTGCAGTTTAAAAACTGTAGTTAAAGCTCCCTTCAGCAAGACATGATGGAGTGAATGATGGTGGGGGGGGGAAAGTTTTTCTTTTTCGCCACCCTGCCTTGGTGGAATCGGCCGGTGTGATAATAAAAAAAAAAAAAAATATATATATATATATATGCAAAACAACCACTCTGAAAGAATAGAGAAAATTCCAACGCTTTCGTGACTACTTGACTCACAATTATCAAGGAACTAAGCAGTGAAAAGCATCCAATTAAGCTAAAAAGGGTCTACCACACCTCACTATCAATCCCCACGTAAACACCGTGCACGCCCGACCCAGAATTGGATAGTCCTTTCAGCACTCACCCACAAACTATTCTACCCAAAGAAAATTTTTAAAAAATAATTATTTGTCCCCTGTCTTATTAAATTCTTTTCCCAAATCTATTAAATTAAATGGGATCTAATTTATATAACCAAAGAAATATTCATATTATTGTCAAAACTGCTTTTATGAAACAAGATTCAATTATATTTCCTGTCTTTAACTATGATTTACCATTGCCAGTTCTACTATCATTAAACTTTTTAAACTTTCAATTGTTGATGCAAAATTGTGTAATCTATATGATAAGTTTAACACTCAGAAGTTTTGGTATTGGCAATGGTAATCCTCTTTCATCACCTGTTCTTAGTATCCTATACAAGGAATTTTTTTGAAACAAGGTTACTTAACACAATCCACCCTAATAAGCTAAATGGTTCAGATATGTTGAGATATATTGTGTCTTATGCCCAAAAATGTAGGTATACACCTTTACCTGAAAATTAAATAGCTTAGGTTATTAGTCCATTCTATAGAACTTTACGTGGATAGTTGAAAAAAAACTCATTGGCCTTTTCTAGAAGTTTTAATTATTAAAGGTAATAATGATTTCAAATTTAAAATTTACCTGAGATATCAAGGTCACTTAGCAGCTTCTTCACATCCTCTTCGATTTTGTGTGTATTCATCCAACACTTGTTGGTACATCCCTTGTTGTGTACCCCTCTGTTCTGTCTTCACCCAGAACCTTTCTGTTTCCGACACTGTAAATACATTCTCTTTAAATCTCTTGGTGGAGCTCCCAATACTTCTTGTCAGTTCTTGTGATCATCCGACCTTCTTTCCCAGCCATTGGGGGGGGGGGGGGGGGGAAAGATTACCCGTCCTTGACTGTTGTCTTCTTTCTGATATTGCTACACAACAGCTTTCGGTCGGTCCTAATTTTCGATCTAATTTGTTGTTCTTACTTTGCTGGAGTCCCTCCTTACTAAGCATACTCTTTCTGGCTCTTCGAGTTATTTCTTTATTTACCCTGGTCCTTTGTCTTCTGTACATTTTCCATTCTATTGCACCCCAATTAATTTTTGCCTCCCCCTACACCTTCGGTAAACCATGACACTTTCTCTGGTTTTTCCCATTATTATGTGCCCTGGGAACAAACCTTACCCTCTTCCGCCTTTTCATTGATGTAACGTAGTTCATACTTTTCGTTTACAACTTTCCTACCAATTCTCTTTCCCCACTAAAACCTCTTGCAGAAAGTTTCCTCATACCTGTGTAGTTTTCCCCCTTTCATAGGTTTGTTCTTTTCCCATCCTACTCCTTTATACCCTCACCACTTGTAACTCTACTATGTATTCAAAGCTCAAAACCATGTGATCACTATCTCCAAGGGAATTTTCATATGTGATGTTCTCAATGTTCTAGCTACTCAGGGCGATACGAGGTCCATCTTGCTGTGTACATCCTCACCTGCTCACTCCGGTAGTGACCCTAACGATGTTGATGCATGAGGTTTTTCCCAGTACCACATCCCATCTCTTGGTTCTCCATGATTTGGGACCCCCCATGTGGCTCCAGGTTTTCCCAATCAATCTCCTTGTGGTTGAAGTCGCCCATAACCAGTATCTTTGCTCTACTCGTGTGAGCTCTTCTGGCCACCTCAGCTAGTGTGTCCACCATTGCTCTGTTGCTCTCTTCATATTCCTCTCTTGGCCTCACGCAGTTCTGTGTTTGGTTATACAACACTACAGTCACAAATTGTCCCCGCAACTGAATTGTACCTACTACGTAATCCCTTTCCCCAATTCTCCCATTCCTTCTATTTCCTCAAATCCCAATCGGTTTTTAATAAGCAGTGCAGCTTTTCCTCCCCTTCTGCTCCTATCTTTCCTCATGATCTGATATTCGGGTGGGAAGATTGTGTCTGTTATTTCCCCCAGTAGTTTTCATTTCTGTACGCTATGATGTCTGGGACGTCTCCTTGATTCTATCATGCCACCACTCACATTTATTTGTTATCTATCAGTGTTTTGTAAACGAAACGTTTCAACTTCTTTTCCTAAAAGTGTGTGGTGTGTGTATGTGTGTTGTACGCACCAAGTTGTGTTTGTAGGGGTCGAGTTACAGCTCCTGGGCCCCGCCTCTTTACTGCTGCACTAGTCACTCGTCCCGCTTCTATGAGCTTTTCATACCTCTTCTTAAAACATTCTAAAACACTGTATGGTTCTAGCCTCCATTACATCACTTGCCAGACGATTACCCACTTCGTGATAACTCTATGACTGAAGAATACTTCTAACAACATCCCTTGTTGACCCTCATCTGAATCTTCAACTTTCATTTGTGACCCTTGTTTCCTGTGTCCCATCACTGAACATCCAATCGAGCGAGTGAGCCGCGCACCTCATCTATTCCTCGCAGAATTTTGTAAGTCGTTATTATGTCTCCCTCCCCTAACTCTCCTGTAATCAGTGTGTAGTTGTGTGTGTGTGTGTGTTGTGTGTGGGTGTGTGTGTTGTGTGTGTGTGTGTGAGTGTGACTCACCTAATTGTGGTTGCAGCGGTGCTGCGTGTGTTGTGCATGTGTTGTGCTGTGTTGTGCGGTGTGCGTGTGATGCGCGTGTGTTTGCGCGTGTACGTGTGTTCGCTGTGTTTGTGCGCGTGTTGTGCGTTTGTTGTGCGTGTGTGCGTGTTTGCGCTTGGGGTTGTGCGCGTGTGCGTGTTTGCGCGTGTGTTTTGTGCGTGTGCGGTGCTGTGCGTGAGTTTGCGAGTGTTGGGGGGGGGCATGTGTTGGGTGTGTTTGTGCGTTTGTTGTCTGCGTGTGTTTGCGTGTGTGTGCTTGAGTGCGTGTGTTTGCGTGTGTTGGTGCGTGTGTTGTGCGTTGATTTGCCCGTGTGTTGTGGCGTGTGTTGTGCGTGTTGGTCGTGTGTTGTGTTTGAGTTTGTGCGT